GGTAAGCAGGGTATAATGGGGTAAATCATTGAAAGATTATGAACTATTGTTTGTTAAATTGACCTTGGGATGACGAGAGTACTTACCTTTGTGGTTTGACCTGCATGTGACTGAGTGAGGCTACTACTTGGTCTAAGTTTCAGTTTCAACAGTAGTTGCTTTAGAGGCTCGCCACGTGCTAGAGCGATAGGAGTTAGTTTCAATTTCTGCATTTTCTAAGCTAAATTGTTTTACTTAGATCAATTCTCGCATTTTCTGGGATCTTTTATTATACTTGGCTTTGTATAAATTTTGGTAAGTTACTTTCTCTACGGGAAGCGCTGCCGAAATTTTTGCAAATGCAAGGAGTTAGTCAAACTTTGACTTGTCAAAGTTCAACTTGTCTAAAGTTTATATACGACTTAGTAAAAATCTGGAAAGTCTCCATTTCTAAAGGGAGTGTTGCCCAAAATTTTGCTAAATCAGGGAGGTAGACAAAATTGGACTTTGGAAAGTTAAAGACTATTTCTGTTTTCATATTTGGGCTGATATAAATTCTGGAAAGACACTTTTTCTACGGGAAGCGCTGCCGAAATTTTCTTAGTTTAAAGGAGTTAGATTATATTTTGACAGGTGACGATTCTGACGATCCACCCTAAATAGGGGAGATTCTGTCATTAGTCCACCTTTGCTTTGGGCACTGGCTTTGAGGTAGGCTTAGACTTAGTTGGCAGATAACTTTGAGTGACAATGTGCTATGGAGGTTCATCCCCCATATGTTGATGATTTAGCTTGGGCATTGACCTGTCTTATGGTACAGGCCTTTCTTCGACACTCGATTCAGGACTTGGACTAGTTCATCTTGATCCTACAAGGATCATTTTCTGTTATCACTGATAACGTTATCACTGATAACAGGTCGGTTGCCGATTCGTCGGTTTACGATTCAACTCCAAATCCACTCATGCCACTCAACCTAAAGGCTTTAGCCTTGTGATTTGAACTGTTTTGTTGTGTTTTCGCCCGAACTTTATTTGGATGGTCATTTAAAGACGAGTACTGAGTATTTTATTGGAGGAGTTGCACAAGAGTGAGACCTACATGGTTAAAACAAGGCGTATGAGTGCAAGAGATAGTTGAAGTTCACCCCGTGTAGTGCGTGGACTTTTGCTGGAACTTTGATGTGATTGCAGGTATGGTTGTGGTTCAGACTCTGGATGTGACTGCCTGCGATTACATACATATATGGCTGAGAGGAGTCCCACTGTGACTGTGAGAAGTGATCGTCTTGTATAAATAAACCTTATGTATATATTTATATGTGCCTTGGGTACGCGCACAGCTTACTATGATCGTGCGCAAGGATTAACCTGATTATGCCTTGAGAGAAAAGGGAGACCCAACATAAAAAATGTTTTGATATTTTTTAATTTTTACACGTAAAAATTAAATTTTTGATATGTATCTACTGCTTGTGCTGGACCCGACTGATTGACATATATGAAGACCCTTGTCGAACATATACCAACAAGTCCCTATATACTCCCAACAAGTCCCAACACAGTCCTAATATGTATGTGGTAATGTGTATTTTTAGTTAACTTTACTATGAAATACTAAAAACTGAAGGAGTTGAGGTTCAATGCACACATGATTTGCATTTATAAAGGAAAATCATATATTTTGTAAATGATAGATGATGGAAAGGTATGTGGTACTTTGGTATGAAGGACTTGTAATTACCCTCGAAGTACTACGTACCTTTTAACATAAAAGCACACAACTACTTATCTTTAACAAACGTAATGGAATGTTATTGCTGTGAGAGAGAGAGAGAGAGAGAGAGAGAGAGAGAGAGAGAGAGAGAGAGCGAGAATGAGTGGTGGAGATAGATATAGAGAGGGAAAAAAAAAAAAAAGGAAAAAACAAGACAGGAAAAAAAATGTTATATGGTACTTTGGATCGCAACAATGTGTTTCTTGAAAAACATGTCGCATACCTTGTCTACATTTTTCATGTTATGATATGTAATAGTTTGGTCTGATTCATAATGGGCGGTGACGGTTAGTTGCATAGGAATGTTTTTTACTACACTGGCACTATGTGGACGGTTCCCCCCCACCCACCTAACCATGACTACCACTTAATGTTTTTTTGTTGACAAAAAAAAAATGGGGGAAATATTTGCTGAAGCATCATTGTAAGTGACAATTGACATTTTTTTTCACTGATGCAAATGATTTTTCTGTTGCAGCGACCGACGTACAACGAGTACCTAACATTTGAGTGACCAATTCAAAGGGGGATGTGAAATTAAATGGTCATTGAAGTGGCGTGAAAGTACTTTTGGTAAAATATAGAACTCTGTTTGAATCCAAATGGACTTATGGCCTTGCCACACCACTGTCGAAACGAAAAAACACGAGTGCATGTTCCCACAGGGAGTGGCTTGATGCATCGGCTACTATGAATAGTAAGGGATGCAACTTGCCACTTTATGGGGAAGATGCAGTGTCACTTTTTTTTTTTGGTTTCGAAAGTTGCCTATAGATACTCTTAGATGAGTTAAATAACTCTACAAGGTCAGTCGATAAAAAGGAAACAAGATCCAGCAACCTAGCTCGGTTGGTAGGGCATATTAGTGGCATTCAGGAGGTCTCGGGTTCAATCCTTATTGGCCTCATGTACCTTCCTGGGCAAGCTTGACACTCGCCACCTAGAGATAGATCGTTGGTCCCCCCGAGCAGTATTGAGCAGAGATTGTTAATGCTCATAGGGGGAGGGAACCGGAGGGGCACAACGAGTGACCGATGGAAGAAGCTCCCACTTACTCTTGCTACCGACTAACCTCTCGCTGGTGTCGCCGACTTGCTGTAGCAGGTATCGTGTCTGCTGGTGGGTGCAACACCCACATGTTCCCTCGTTGGAGGCTTGAACACGGACGTGGATGCTACAGAGTTCCCCGTAATAGTAATATCACAATAAAAACACGGTCGGGAAGACCGTTTAGACTATATTCAACGAGTTTTTTTTCTTTTTTTTTTCCTTTTGAAAGGAGGAAACAAGGGTAAAAAAAGAAGAAGTTATTCTTAGGTGCCAAGTTAACATATTTTTTTTGCGGGGGCCAAACCCATTCAGGTTCTCCAACCCTTTTTTTTTTCCCTATTTTTCCGTAACTTCGGCACATTATTACGGTTGTCGTACGAACAACCATTCACACGTTCGATCGGCTGTTGGTATGACCGTATGAAAAAGCCCCCGTGCGGCATACAGGGGTATTCACATACAACAAGAGTGCCACATGTGGTCAGGGGGGATTGAACCCATGGCCTGCTGAATGCCGCTTGTTGCCTAACCAACTGAGGCCGCTCGCTCTTTTTTTTTTTTTTTTTGAAGGGCTATTTACGGTCTATGACCAACATGGGTGTCAGTGTGAGCGTGAGTGGGTTGTGTGTGGTGTGTGGGAGAGTGTTGGCCATAGCCACTGCTGCTACTTGATGGGGGGTGGGGGACGATGAAAAGGGAGGCGCAGCTACTGGCGAAATGCTTTCTTTGCGTTAGCCGCACCCCCATCGACGGCCCTTACCCATCTTTGAGCACCGCTGGTGGGGCGGGGGGCAACATGAATACCMTAAGTTTGTGAGGCCCTATGCTTGTCGGGGTCCCTTCTACATAGCCTTAGGAGTAGTGGTCGGTAAATAGTGAAAGGCCAAAAAAGAAAGAGAAGACTACGGAGCAGTCAGGGTTTGAGTTTGAAAATGCACTTGAGGCAAAGGGGCCGGTAATGGAGTGCCCAGACCATACCGAAGGTTTTGGGGAAAAAAAAAAAAAAAAAAAAAAGGG